CCAACTATATGCAGCAAGTAACTTAGAATCTTGCTTGCTGTGGAATTTACTCAAACTTTGGTTGACTTGTAAAGTCATTTATGTTAAAACTTTTTCTCTAAGGAACGTGTTGAGGCAGTTAATATGGCTGAAGGAATTATTCATGACACAGAAACCAAGATGGAAGAATTCAAGGACCAGTTGCCTGCTGATGAGGTGAGTTTAGAAATAATTCTAAGCATTTTCACCAGTCATTGAAACTCATTTTTCTGTGGGTTTTGATAGCGATTTTTTAAAAAAATTGGTATATACTACATGTAATGAGACACAGGAGACCTAGGAAAATAAAGTCTTTTGGTTTTTGCCCCACCCCCCCCCTTTTTTTTTTTTTTCAGTGCAACAAGCTAAGAGAAGAGATTTCCAAAATGAGAGAACTCTTGGCTCGAAAAGACAGTGAAACGGGAGAAAACATTAGGCAGGCAGCATCTTCCCTTCAGCAGGCATCACTGAAGCTCTTTGAAATGGCATATAAAAAGGTACAGGGGCTGAAGGGTATTTGGTCTTATGACTGGGGTACCCTCTGTAAGCATTTATGGAATTTGAGGGTAGTGGTAGGGAGGGGAAATAAAAGTACAGGATGAAGTCTGTAGAGGACAAGGCACCTCAGTTTAGATGTTCAGAGAACAAACTTCTGATACCAAGTGGTCTTCACATATTTTCTTTAACAGATGGCATCTGAGCGAGAAGGCTCTGGAAGTTCTGGCACTGGAGACCAGAAGGAAGATCAGAAGGAGGAGAAACAGTAATAGTAGCAATGCGTTTTGGAGCCAAAAGGACAACATATACTATGAAGCTTGGGAGTGAAGGGACTTCCTGAGCAGAACGGGGCAAACTTCAGTCTTTTTACTGTGTTTTTGCAGTATTCTATATATAATTTCCTCCATATGTAAATTTAGTGACAATTTTAGCTAACACATTTAATGGGCAATGAATCCAGTAGTAGCAAGTTCACAAAATTCTGTCCCTAGCCTGTTTATTTTTCAGCTGCATGTGGTTGGGGGTGGGGGGCTATTCATCAATCATTATAAAGGTGTATCACTGGTTTGTGCTGAAATGGCCGTATTTTCAAGGTGTGTGAAACTCTTTACACACACAGTGCAGGTAGTCTGCCATGGACCTTGAATGAGATTGGAGGTGAACCTTCACTGGCCAAAAATAGAAATAATGACCTTTATGTTCATGGGATTGGAGGCCTTGCAAGTCAGGCTAGCTACCTTGCCATGTTTTGTAAGTTAATCGATAACAGCTGTGTTAGGAGTAGCTTTTAAAATAAAGTCATTTCATGGTCCTAAGGCATCTGTTTCTAGCTAGCTACCCTCTTAGCCTGTGTCTGGCATCTACGTCCTTGATGATTGTTCTTTTTCGTCCATTCTGGATTTTTTTTTAAAAAAAAATAAAAATATAGAAAGCATCTTGATTTCCTTTGTGCATGGGAATAGCTTCAGGCTGTGATTGTATTACCACATTTCCCAAGGGCAGAAATGAAAAGGATTTTCTGGCATTAACTAAAAATGTAAATAAACAGGATTTGGAGGGACTGATAATATTTATTGGCATATGGGCCAGGTACATGTTAGCACACACTTTTTAAGTTCCAGCACTCATGAGGCAGGGGCAGGTGATCCACATAGTAGGGGCTACAAAGTGATAAAATACTGGCATAGGCAATTATGAGCTACCCCATACGGGTACTGGAGACTGAACTTGGGTCCTCTGAAAGAGCAGTGTGGATTCCTAACTGCTGAGTCATCTATCCAGTGCTCCCATACCCCCCTTTATTGTTTGAGAACAGGGTCTTACTACATTAGCTTCAGCTGGCCTGGAACAAGGAATTAGCTCAGTTATGGAAATAGAAATCTCAAAATTTGCTATGCTGGAGACCTAAGAATACTAATGGTGTCCCAGTGTTCGAAAGGTAGACACCTCAGCTGAAGTAAGCCATGAATTTTCAGTTTGCCTTTATGTTCTACTTGGACCTTTATGTGACTGATGTGTACACATGTTGGAAAGAAAGCTGTTTTACTGTAAAGTCTCCCCTTTGAGAGCATAACTGCTTAATGAGATCCCAAAAAGTAACTTCCTAATTCTCCTCTTACTCCAACCTCCTCTTTTCGGCTTGGTCTTAACAGTTGCAAAGTAACTGCTTATGCATGCCCAAACCAAACCCTACAGTTAACAATCTCGGTGAAGTATACACAGCATCATGTCTTTTAAAATTACCACTTGGATGATTCTGTCTTGTGGGGTTTCTTTTTATACATTTATTTGTGTGTGTATGTGTGGACACATGCATGTCACATCACATGTGGAGATGAGAGGACAATTTGAAGGAGTTGGGTTTTCCCCTTAAACCATGTAGCTTCTAGGAATTAAACTTGGGTCATCAGGGTTGGCTGCAAGTGCCTTTACTTGGTAAATCATCTCACCAGCCAAATTTTCATCTGTCTGTCCGTCCACACCACTGCTATCCTAGCCTTTTCCTGTAGCAATTATGTCACTCCCCTGCTCAAAACTGTTGTCCATGCCTACATTGCTTCACATAATCTGGCCACCCACTACTTCCCTTTTGTTTTTTTCTTGCTGGCTGTCCTGAGATTTCCAAACACTTAAGTTTGTACTTTTCCCACTAAAAGTATAAGCATGAGGTCAAAACGTTGATATTTCCTAGTACCTAAAACAAAATTAGTTCATATAAAAAAAAAAAACTTTCTTAATCTTTCCCATCATTGAGAAATCTACATGGTTTCTACAACTGATTTTTTTTTCGAGATAGGGTTTCATTATGTACCCCCAAGCTGTCCTTGAACTCAGAGACTTGTGCCTCTTAAAGGTGTATGTCACCACTCACAGTCCTGGTTTTTTTTTTTTATTTCTATGTGTATGAGTGTTTTGCCTGCATGTATCTTAAGTACCTGTGTGACCAATGCATGCGGAGACCATAAGAGAGCGTTGGATCCCCTGAAACTGGAATTACAGACAGTTGTTAGCTACATGTTACATGTAGGTGCTGGGAACTGAACCCAGCCCCTTGCAAAAGCAGCCAATGCTTTTAACCCCTGAACCACCTCTTCAGTCCTGGTTTGTTTAAAGAATCTTGCTCAGGTAAGCCTGCCTGCTGGCACTGCAAATGTGCTACCACCATGTCAGGCCATTGTCTTTTAAATCAGAAATTAAAGGGTGAGAGATGGCTCTTGCTGAGCAGTTCCCAGTTCCCTGGTTGAGTGGCCCTAACTGCAGCTCAAGGGGGATCTGACATCTCTTTTGGCACCTGTATTCCTGTACACACAATTTAATCTTTTTTTAACTTTCTATTTGTGTGTGGGTGTGTACGTGGAGGTCAGAAGACAATTTTCGGGAGTCTGTTCTTTCTACCATGTAGGTCCTGGGATTCAAACTCAGATCCTCAGGCTTAGCAGCCTGTGCCTCTACTCACTGAGCCATCTTACCAGTCACAAAAGTAATCTTTTAAAAAACAAATTATAGGAATTATATTTTCAATAATGGGTGCAAGTTTTATCAAACCATATGTTTTTTGAGACAAGTCTCCCTGTAGCTCCAACAGGCCTGGAACTCACTATATGCTGGGATTAAAAGCATGTGCCACCGAGTTGGTTTTTTTTCCTTTTTATAATTTTATTTTTATTTTATGTGTATGCTTATATTGCCATCTCTCCAGCCCCCAAGTGAGTTTTTGACACAGGGTCTTGTTATGTATTTATGGATGAGCAGGCAAGCTTCTCAGCTTCCTAAGTGCTAAGATTACAGGAAATGTGCCACCACACCTGGCTGAATCTGTATTTTGCTGGTACTGGGTATTGAACCTAGGGCCTCAAGAATGCTTGGCAACCGTTCTACCACTGGCAGTTATCTCCCAGCCTTTTTTTTCTTGTAGCCCCAGCTGGAACTCAATATGTAGACCAGGCTGGCCTCAACTCAGAGATCCGCCTACCTCTGCTTCCCAAGTGCTAAGACTAAAGATGTGTGACCACCCAGCCTTTTCGGGGGGGGGGGGGGGTTGTGGTGCTGAGGATCAAACTCTGAATTTTGCCTCAAGCAGACTATCACCAGCCCAAGATAGAAGGATGTTATGTTTTTTTATTTGTTTTACGTGTATGAGTGTTTTGCCTTCATGTATACACCCATGTTGTGCAGTGCCCACAGAGGCTATAAGAGCATCGGATCCCTAGAAATGGAATAACAGTTATTAACCATCATGTGGATGCTGTGCCATCTCTTCGGCCCCAGTTTTCACTGTTTTTTTTTAAATTACATATAAGTGTGTATCTGTTGGGGTATATAGCACATGAGGGCAGGTACTTGGAGAGGTAGAGCATTGGATCCCCCTGGAGCTGGAGTTACAGGTATTTGTGAGCCGCCTGATGTGGGTGCTGTAAGAGCAGTAGGCAGTCTTAACCACTGAGTCATCTCTTCAGCCCCATTTCTTCAAAGAGGCTATGACCTAAAATGGGTTCAAGAACCATAAGTGTCCTATGTGGGAAATCAGTCTACAAGCTTAACTGGCTTAATTTAAGGCATAATGTCCTGGTTCTGCCATATTTGGGGCCATCTCAATTCTGTCTGGATTTTTTTTTTTTTTTTTAATGTGTATGCTTGTATTGCCTGCATGTAGGTAAATGCACCCGTGTCATGCAATGCCCATGGAGGTCAGAAGAGGCTGTCAGATCTCCTGGGTCTGGAGTTAGCTGCCATGTGGGTGCTGGGATTCGAACCCCAGTCTTCTGCAAGAACAGTCAGTGTTCTTAACCACTAAGCCATCTCTCCAGCCCCTCTCTTGGATCATTCTAAAGCAAATTCCAGAAATTGTAGTTATGCTTATGAGACAGGGTCCCATGTAGCCCAGGCTGGCATTGAATTCCTGATCTTCCTCATTTCCCAGTTACTGAGATTGTAAATTTTCACCACCATGCCTGGTTCCAGAAATTATTAAATACCTCTAAAAAGATTATTCTACAAGATATCATTATGACACTTAAAAGATTAACACCTTAACAGCAAACACTGAGTATTCCCTTTCTAAACTTTTCAAAGGGAACTCATGGATTTTGATTTTTGTATTCCAATTTGTTGTAGTTTGCTTTTTTACCATTATTTTTAGTTATATGTATGTGTGTATCTGTGGGTCTGTGCTGTGTGGAAGTGCCCACAGAGGCCAGAGGCATCAGATCCTCTAAAACTGGGTTACAGGAAGTTGTGAGCCACCTGGGTGCTGGGAATGGAACTCAGGTACTCTACAAGAACAGACCATGCTCTTTACTGCTGAGCCATCTCTCTAGCACTGCTTTTCTTTTCTTTTCTTTTTTTTGAGACAGAGTCTCCCTGTAGCCCCAGCTGTCCTGGAACTCACTATGGAGACCAGGCTGGCCTCGAACTCACAGAGATCCACCTGCCTCAGCCACCACGCCCAGCTTTTTAAAAGTATTTTTAATTACGTGTTTTTTTGTGTGTGTATCTGCATGTATCCCAGAGGTATGGGATCCCCCAGGAGCTGGAATAACAGGAAGTTATGAGCTGTCAGTTACTGGGAATTGAACTAGAGTTCTCTGGAAGAGCAACAAGTACTGTTAACCACTGAGCCATCTCTCCAGCCCACTTTTTAAATAAAACATGTTTTTGTTTTTTGAGACGGTCTGGACAGTTCCAGCTGACCTGGTTCTCGATATGTAGACCAAGTTGCCCTTGATCTCATAGCGATCTGCCTGTCTCTGCCTCCTGAGTGCTGAGACTAAAGGCTTATGCCACACTTAGCTTCCCCAGTTCTTTTTAATATTTTATTATTTTTATTTTATGTGTATGAGTGTATTTCCTGCATGTATGTGAGTGCACCCGTGTCATGCATTGCCACGGAGGTCAGAAGAGGGCTTCGGAATCCCCCTGGAACTGGAGTTGATCATAGCAGCCATGTCAGTGCAAGGAATCAAACCTGGATCCTCTGCAAGAGCAGTCAGTGCTCTTAACTGCTGAGCCATCTCTCCAGCCCCAGTTCCCCAGTTCTTAATTTTTTTTTAATTATATTTACTAATTTGTGTATGTGTGTGGGTGAATACACATTCCATAGCACATGTATAAAGTGTGCAGAAGTGGACTGTCTCCTTCCTCCATGTGGGTCCTGGGCATCAAATTTAGGTTGTCAGACTTGGCAGCAAGCATTTTTACCCACTGAGCATCTCACTGGCCCATACCCAGTTCTTTACTTTTATGTACGAGGGTTTTGCCTGTGTGTATGTAAGTGTACCTCGTGCATGCACTGCCCTCAAAGAGGGTGTCAGATCCCCTGGAACTGGAGCTAGGAACAGTTAGCTGCCATGTGGGTGCTAGGAACAGAAGTTGGGTCCTCTGGAAAAGCAGAAGTCTTTCAACTGCTGAGCCATCCTCCAGTTTGGTTTTTGAGAC